TCTCTCTCTCTGGTCTCTCTGGTCTCTCTCTGGTCTCTCTCTCTCTAGTCTCTATACATATAAACTTGCCTTGCCCTTCCTAAATATCAAAACTTGTAAAAATCTTGGACAAAAAGCCAATATTATGTACCCTTTAAGTTGAGAAATACAGACAGTTTGTGAGTTTACTTTCTTTGCCACATTTGTAGTGAACATAATTGTATATTCATTCTGCCTCCCCCGCGGTGGCGAAAACTTATAGAACAATCTTCTGTGACATTGGCCCATAGGCTCAGAAGTAATATTGCAATTTAAATGTTAATTATTTTCTTCCGAGAACTGAAATAATGAGTCTTGGTCAAAAGCCTTCGACCACATCCACAGAAGTGCGTACGAGGCGTTCGCCGCTTTTTCACACCTTAATAATTGATGAATGATGTTAAAACTTAGCTGTGGATGAAGAAAGATCTCTTTAAACGGAGCTATCTGACTAGAACTAATGTGTAACTGCCCCCAGAGTGGACCAGAGTGGACCAGAGTGGACCAGAGTTGACCAGAGGATGATGGAATAAGTTGCCAAATTTAAAGAAAAAGGAATGAGATTTTGCTTCTGCTGCAGCTTGGGCAATGACACACTGCCTTAAGCCCACGATTCACCTTGGAATCCTTTAGCCTCCTCTTCAACCTGATGGCCTCCGTTACTACTGGAGTATTCCCGCCGGAACCAGGACCAGACACCCTGCGGCCAAAGCGACAAGCATTGGTGATGGAGGTGGAAAACATGGTTGACCCAGACTCAATCCCTTTGACATTCATGGGTGAGCAGCCGACTTACCGTGCATTTATTTGCCATGATCAGAATGTGTTGTGTTTGGTCATAGTTATATTTTTGTATATAATTTTGTGTGTGTGTGTGTGTCATCCAGGCCAAGCCCAAACACACAACGTTCACACACAAGGCAAAACAAGATTCAAGGACAATCACACAAGGCATTAAAATCATAGATAATAACACTAGATTAAAAGAATAAAGAAAAAGTCCTTGCAGTCCTGACTCTGGGACCGGCATGAGGCCAGTCCCTGTGCTCCTCATAGTCCCAGCAGGAGGCCAGTCCCTGTGCTCAGAGTCCGAACAAGAGGCCAGTCCCTGTGCTCCTCAGAGTCCCAGCAGGAGGCCAGTCCCTGTGCTCAGAGTCCGAACAAGAGGCCAGTCCCTGTGCTCCTCAGAGTCCCAGCACAAGGCCAGTCCCTGTGCTCCTCATAGTCCCAGCACGAGGCCAGTCCCTGTGCTCCTCATAGTCCCAGCAGGAGGCCAGTCCCTGTGCTCCTCATAGTCCCAGCAGGAGGCCAGTCCCTGTGCTCCGCATAGTCCCAGCAGGAGGCCAGTCCCTGTGCTCCTCATAGTCCCAGCACGAGGCCAGTCCCTGTGCTCCTCATAGTCCCAGCATGAGGCCAGCCCCTGTGCTCCTCATAGTCCCAGCACGAGGCCAGTCCCTGTGCTCCTCATAGTCCCAGCACGAGGCCAGTCCCTGTGCTCCTCATAGTCCCAGCACGAGGCCAGTCCCTGTGCACCTCATAGTCCCAGCAGGAGGCCAGTCCCTGTGCTCCTCATAGTCCCAGGACGAGGCCAGTCCCTGTGCTCCTCATAGGCCCAGCACGAGGCCAGTCCCTGTGCTCCTCATAGGCCCAGCACGAGGCCAGTCCCTGTGCTCCTCATAGTCCCAGCAGGAGGCCAGTCCCTGTGCTCCTCATAGGCCCAGCACGAGGCCAGTCCCTGTGCTCCTCATAGTCCCAGCAGGAGGCCAGTCCCTGTGCTCCTCATAGTCCCAGCACGAGGCCAGTCCCTGTGCTCCTCATAGGCCCAGCACGAGGCCAGTCCCTGTGCTCCTCATAGTCCCAGCAGGAGGCCAGTCCCTGTGCTCCTCATAGTACCAGCACGAGGCCAGTCCCTGTGCTCCTCATAGTCCCAGCACGAGGCAAGTCCCTGTGCTCCTCATAGTCCCAGCAGGAGGCCAGTCCCTGTGCTCCTCATAGTCCCAGCAGGAGGCCAGTCCCTGTGCTCCTCATAGTCCCAGCACGAGGCCAGTCCCTGTGCTCCTCATAGGCCCAGCACGAGGCCAGTCCCTGTGCTCCTCATAGTCCCAGCAGGAGGCCAGTCCCTGTGCTCCTCATAGTACCAGCACGAGGCCAGTCCCTGTGCTCCTCATAGTCCCAGCACGAGGCAAGTCCCTGTGCTCCTCATAGTCCCAGCAGGAGGCCAGTCCCTGTGCTCCTCATAGGCCCAGCACGAGGCCAGTCCCTGTGCTCCTCATAGTCCCAGCACGAGGCCAGTCCCTGTGCTCCTCAGAGTCCCAGCACGAGGCCAGTCCCTGTGCTCCTCATAGACCCAGCACGAGGCCAGTCCCTGTGCTCCTCATAGTCCCAGCAGGAGGCCAGTCCCTGTGCTCCTCATAGGCCCAGCACGAGGCAAGTCCCTGTGCTCCTCATAGTCCCAGCAGGAGGCCAGTCCCTGTGCTCCTCATAGTCCCAGCACGAGGCCAGTCCCTGTGCTCCTCATAGGCCCAGCACGAGGCCAGTCCCTGTGCTCCTCATAGTCCCAGCAGGAGGCCAGTCCCTGTGCTCCTCATAGTACCAGCACGAGGCCAGTCCCTGTACTCCTCATAGTCCCAGCACGAGGCAAGTCCCTGTGCTCCTCATAGTCCCAGCAGGAGGCCAGTCCCTGTGCTCCTCATAGTCCCAGCAGGAAGCCAGTCCCTGTGCTCCTCATAGTCCCAGCACGAGGCCAGTCCCTGTGCTCCTCATAGGCCCAGCACGAGGCCAGTCCCTGTGCTCCTCATAGTCCCAGCAGGAGGCCAGTCCCTGTGCTCCTCATAGTACCAGCACGAGGCCAGTCCCTGTGCTCCTCATAGTCCCAGCACGAGGCCAGTCCGTGTGCTCCTCATAGTCCCAGCACGAGGCAAGTCCCTGTGCTCCTCATAGTCCCAGCAGGAGGCCAGTCCCTGTGCTCCTCATAGTCCCAGCACGAGGCCAGTCCCTGTGCTCCTCATAGGCCCAGCACGAGGCCAGTCCCTGTGCTCCTCATAGTCCCAGCACGAGGCCAGTCCCTGTGCTCCTCATAGTCCCAGCACGAGGCCAGTCCCTGTGCTCCTCATAGGCCCAGCACGAGGCCAGTCCCTGTGCTCCTCATAGTCCCAGCACGAGGCCAGTCCCTGTGCTCCCCATAGTCCCAGCACGAGGCCAGTCCCTGTGCTCCCCATAGTCCCAGCACGAGGCCAGTCCCTGTGCTCCTCATAGTCCCAGCACAAGGCCAGTCCCTGTGCTCCTCATAGTCCCAGCACGAGGCAAGTCCCTGTGCTCCTCATAGTCCCAGCACGAGGCCAGTCCCTGTGCTCCTCATAGTCCCAGCACGAGGCCAGTCCCTGTGCTCCTCATAGTCCCAGCACGAGGCCAGTCCGTGTGCTCCTCATAGTCCCAGCACGAGGCCAGTCCCTGTGCTCCTCATAGTCCCAGCACGAGGCCAGTCCCTGTGCTCCTCATAGTCCCAGCACGAGGCAAGTCCCTGTGCTCCTCATAGTCCCAGCAGGAGGCCAGTCCCTGTGCTCCTCATAGTCCCAGCACGAGGCCAGTCCCTGTGCTCCTCATAGTCCCAGCACGAGGCCAGTCCCTGTGCTCCTCATAGTCCCAGCACGAGGCCAGTCCCTGTGCTCCTCATAGTCCCAGCACGAGGCCAGTCCCTGTGCTCCCCATAGTCCCAGCACGAGGCCAGTCCCTGTGCTCCCCATAGTCCCAGCACGAGGCCAGTCCCTGTGCTCCTCATAGTCCCAGCACAAGGCCAGTCCCTGTGCTCCTCATAGTCCCAGCACGAGGCAAGTCCCTGTGCTCCTCATAGTCCCAGCACGAGGCCAGTCCCTGTGCTCCTCATAGTCCCAGCACGAGGCCAGTCCCTGTGCTCCCCATAGTCCCAGCACGAGGCCAGTCCCTGTGCTCCTCATAGTCCCAGCACGAGGCCAGTCCCTGTGCTCCTCATAGTCCCAGCACAAGGCCAGTCCCTGTGCTCCTCATAGTCCCAGCACGAGGCAAGTCCCTGTGCTCCTCATAGTCCCAGCACGAGGCCAGTCCCTGTACTCCTCATAGGCCCAGCAGGAGCCCCACTGGTCATTAGTTCTGTCTATCTATAAAAAGTACCACAAGCTTCATATCTCTTCATCACAAACTGCAAAAACCGTTTTCCCACTTGTACCTTTGCCACATGGACAAGACCTTTCCTACGCTCCATCTGTCTTATCTTAGTCATATGGATTTGGGTCTGGCTGTGATGACTCCACTTACCGGGCGTGGGAGGCTCCGTGGTGCAGTGGAGGATGTATGTGCCGTCACTGCCGTTTCATTGGCTCATCTCCCAGGGTGATTCCCCGGCTGCGCTGACCAATCACAGCGCACCTCTTGCTTCTGTCGCGGCTGTTACAGGATGTCGCCAAAGGTTGTTGGGTTTGTCTGACTTTTTCTGAGTGAAAAAGGAAACCAGGAGAGAGAGCCAATGCAGTAAAATGCTGGAAAGTGTCTATGTTAATGTTGAAAAAAAAATTTGGTTAAAAGGTAAGAAGTCTCAATATTGATCCTGAATAACTCCTGTTTTAGGAGGATCTTGGAGTGAGGTCTCTGTTTATAGTTTTTCCGCGCCGGTCACGTGGCCGGGTGGCACTATAGCACTGAAAGCTACCTGGATGCTACAAAGTTAGCTATTTTTAGACGTTTGAAGGGATGTTTTACTAAATCAAATGGTCCGTTCCTGTGGTGTGGTCGGTTGTACGGCCCGCTGGTGACAGATTAAAAATGTTTTCTAATTATTTCGGAAAAGAACAGCGAAAAACGGCCGCGGTAAAGTGGATTTTAAACATTGCATTTTGTTTGCTCATCCCGGCGGCTTTGGATTTGCAGCCATTTCCCAGTGCATTCAAAAGTGCGCTCACTGCATCAGACAAAGGCAAAGCTCTGGCCCTGGGTTCAGTGAAGACATGAACTCAGTCTGAAGCTCTAACCCCACAGCCCCCGCTCCTCCCACACGGACCACAGCAGAACGACACACTCTGGTGCTCGGGCACTTTGGAGCACAGCAGAACGACACACTCTGGTGCTCGGGCACTTTGGAGCACAGCAGAACGACACACTCTGGTGCTCGGGCACTTTGGAGCACAGCAGAACGACACACTCTGGTGCTCGGGCACTTTGGAGCACAGCAGAACGACACACTCTGGTGCTCGGGCACTTTGGAGCACAGCAGAACGACACAGTCTGGGGCTCGGGCACTTTGGACCACAGCAGAACGACACACTCTGGTGCTCGGGCACTTTGGACCACAGCAGAACGACACACTCTGGTGCTCGGGCACTTTGGAGCACAGCAGAACGACACAGTCTGGGGCTCGGGCACTTTGGACCACAGCAGAACGACACACTCTGGTGCTCGAGCACTTTGGAGCACAGCAGAACGACAGTGCTCGGGCACTTTGGAGCACAGCAGAACGACACACTCTGGTGCTCGGGCACTTTGGACCACAGCAGAACGACACACTCTGGGGCTCGGGCACTTTGGACCACAGCAGAACGACACACTCTGGTGCTTGGGCACTTTGGAGCACAGCAGAACAACACACTCTGGGGCTCGGGCACTTTGGACCACAGCAGAACGACACACTCTGGTAGTCGGGCACTTTGGACCACAGCAGAACGACACACTCTGGGGCTCGGGCACTTTGGACCACAGCAGAACGACACACTCTGGTGCTTGGGCACTTTGGAGCACAGCAGAACAACACACTCTGGGGCTCGGGCACTTTGGACCACAGCAGAACGACACACTCTGGTAGTCGGGCACTTTGGAGCACAGCAGAACGACACACTCTGGTAGTCGGGCACTTTGGAGCACAGCAGAACGACACACTCTGGTGCTCAGGCACTTTGAAGCACAGCAGAACGACACACTCTGGTGCTCGGGCACTTTGAAGCACAGCAGAATGACACACTCTGGTGCTCGGGCACTTTGGAGCACAGCAGAACGACACACTCTGGTGCTCGAGCACTTTGGAGCACAGCAGAACGACACACTCTGGTGCTCGGGCACTTTGGAGCACAGCAGAACGACACACTCTGGGGCTCGGGCACTTTGGAGCACAGCAGAACGACAGTGCTCGGGCACTTTGGAGCACAGCAGAACGACACAGTCTGGGGCTCGGGCACTTTGGACCACAGAGAACGACACACTCTGGTGCTCGGGCACTTTGGACCACAGCAGAACAACACACTCTGGGGCTCGGGCACTTTGGAGCACAGCAGAACGACAGTGTTCGGGCACTTTGGACCACAGCAGAACGACACACTCTGGTGCTTGGGCACTTTGGAGCACAGCAGAACAACACACTCTGGGGCTCGAGCACTTTGGAGCGCAGCAGAACGACACACTCTGGGGCTCGGGCACTTTGGACCACAGCAGAACGACACACTCTGGTAGTCGGGCACTTTGGAGCACAGCAGAACGACACACTCTGGTAGTCGGGCACTTTGGAGCACAGCAGAACGACACACTCTGGTGCTCGGGCACTTTGGAGCACAGCAGAACGACACACTCTGGTGCTCAGGCACTTTGAAGCACAGCAGAACGACACACTCTGGTGCTCGGGCACTTTGAAGCACAGCAGAACGACACACTCTGGGGCTCGGGCACTTTGGAGCACAGCAGAACGACACACTCTGGTGCTTGGGCACTTTGGAGCACAGCAGAACGACACACTCTGGTGCTCGGGCACTTTGGAGCACAGCAGAACGACACACTCTGGTGCTCGGGCACTTTGAAGCACAGCAGAACGACACACTCTGGGGCTCGGGCACTTTGGACCACAGCAGAACGACACACTCTGGTGCTCGGGCACTTTGAAGCACAGCAGAACGACACACTCTGGGGCTCGGGCACTTTGGAGCACAGCAGAACGACACACTCTGGTGCTTGGGCACTTTGGAGCACAGCAGAACGACACACTCTGGTGCTCGGGCACTTTGGAGCACAGCAGAACGACACACTCTGGTGCTCGGGCACTTTGAAGCACAGCAGAACGACACACTCTGGGGCTCGGGCACTTTGGACCACAGCAGAACGACACACTCTGGTGCTCGGGCACTTTGGAGCACAGCAGAACGACACACTCTGGGGCTCGGGCACTTTGGACCACAGCAGAACGACACATTCTGGTGCTCGGGCACTTTGGAGCACAGCAGAACAACACACTCTGGGGCTCGAGCACTTTGGAGCACAGCAAAACGACACACTCTGGGGCTCGGGCACTTTGGACCACAGCAGAACGACACACTCTGGGGCTCGAGCACTTTGGACCACAGCAGAACGACACACTCTGGTGCTCGGGCACTTTGGACCACAGCAGAACAACACACTCTGGTGCTCGGGCACTTTGGACCACAGCAGAACGACACACTCTGGTGCTCGGGCACTTTGGACCACAGCAGAACGACACACTCTGGTGCTCGGGCACTTTGGACCACAGCAGAACGACACACTCTGGTGCTCGGGCACTTTGGAGCACAGCAGAACGACACACTCTGGTGCTCGGGCACTTTGAAGCACAGCAGAACAACACATTCTGGTGCTCGGGCACTTTGGACCACAGCAGAACAACACACTCTGGTGCTCGGGCACTTTGGACCACAGCAGAACGAAACACTCTGGTGCTCGGGCACTTTGGAGCACAGCAGAACGACACACTCTGGTGCTCGGGCACTTTGGATCACAGCAGAACGACACACTCTGGTGCTCGGGCACTTTGGAGCACAGCAGAACGACACACTCTGGTGCTCAGGCACTTTGAAGCACAGCAGAACGACACACTCTGGAGCTCGGGCACTTTGGAGCACAGCAGAACGACACACTCTGGTGCTCGGGCACTTTGGATCACAACAGAACGACACACTCTGGTGCTCGGGCACTTTGAAGCACAGCAGAACGACACACTCTGAGGCTCGGGCACTTTGGAGCACAGCAGAACGACACACTCTGGTGCTCGGGCACTTTGGACCACAGCAGAACGACACACTCTGGGGCTCGGGCACTTTGGAGCACAGCAGAACAACACACTCTGGGGCTCGAGCACTTTGGAGCACAGCAGAACAACACACTCTGGTGCTCGGGCACTTTGGAGCACAGCAGAACGACACACTCTGGGGCTCGGGCACTTTGGAGCACAGCAGAACGACAGTGCTCGAGCACTTTGGAGCACAGCAGAACGACACAGTCTGGGGCTCGGGCACTTTGGACCACAGCAGAACGACACACTCTGGGGCTCGGGCACTTTGAAGCACAGCAGAACGACACACTCTGGAGCTCGGGCACTTTGGAGCACAGCAGAACGACACACTCTGGTGCTCGGGCACTTTGGATCACAACAGAACGACACACTCTGGTGCTCGGGCACTTTGAAGCACAGCAGAACGACACACTCTGAGGCTCGGGCACTTTGGAGCACAGCAGAACGACACACTCTGGTGCTCGGGCACTTTGGAGCACAGCAGAACGACACACTCTGGTGCTCGGGCACTTTGGACCACAGCAGAACAACACACTCTGGGGCTCGGGCACTTTGGACCACAGCAGAACGACACACTCTGGTGCTTGGGCACTTTGGAGCACAGCAAAACGACACACTCTGGTAGTCGGGCACTTTGGAGCACAGCAGAACGACACACTCTGGTGCTCGGGCACTTTGGACCACAGCAGAACAACACACTCTGGGGCTCGGGCACTTTGGACCACAGCAGAACGACACACTCTGGTGCTTGGGCACTTTGGAGCACAGCAAAACGACACACTCTGGTAGTCGGGCACTTTGGAGCACAGCAGAACGACACACTCTGGTGCTCGGGCACTTTGGATCACAACAGAACGACACACTCTGGTGCTCAGGCACTTTGGAGCACAGCAGAACGACACACTCTGGTGCTCAGGCACTTTGAAGCACAGCAGAACGACACACTCTGGTGCTCGGGCACTTGGAAGCACAGCAGAACGACACACTCTGGGGCTCGGGCACTTTGGAGCACAGCAGAACGACACACTCTGGTGCTCGGGCACTTTGGAGCACAGCAGAACGACACACTCTGGTGCTCGGGCACTTTGGATCACAGCAGAACGACACACTCTGGTGCTCGGGCACTTTGGAGCACAGCAGAACGACACACTCTGGGGCTCGGGCACTTTGGAGCACAGCAGAACGACAGTGCTCGGGCACTTTGGAGCACAGCAGAACAACACAGTCTGGGGCTCGGGCACTTTGGACCACAGCAGAACGACACACTCTGGTGCTCGGGCACTTTGGACCACAGCAGAAGAACACACTCTGGGGCTCGGGCACTTTGGAGCACAGCAGAACGACAGTGCTCGGGCACTTTGGACCACAGCAGAACAACACACTCTGGTGCTCGGGCACTTTGGACCACAGCAGAACAACACACTCTGGGGCTCGAGCACTTTGGAGCACAGCAGAACGACACACTCTGGGGCTCGGGCACTTTGGACCACAGCAGAACGACACACTCTGGTAGTCGGGCACATTGGAGCACAGCAGAACGACACACTCTGGTGCTCGGGCACTTTGGAGCACAGCAGAACGACACACTCTGGTAGTCGGGCACTTTGGAGCACAGCAGAACGACACACTCTGGTGCTCGGGCACTTTGGATCACAACAGAACGACACACTCTGGTGCTCGGGCACTTTGGACCACAGCAGAACAACACACTCTGGGGCTCGAGCACTTTGGAGCACAGCAGAACGACACACTCTGGGGCTCGGGCACTTTGGACCACAGCAGAACGACACACTCTGGTAGTCGGGCACATTGGAGCACAGCAGAACGACACACTCTGGTGCTCGGGCACTTTGGAGCACAGCAGAACGACACACTCTGGTAGTCGGGCACTTTGGAGCACAGCAGAACGACACACTCTGGTGCTCGGGCACTTTGGATCACAACAGAACGACACACTCTGGTGCTCGGGCACTTTGGAGCACAGCAGAACGACACACTCTGGTGCTCAGGCACTTTGAAGCACAGCAGAACGACACACTCTGGTGCTCGGGCACTTTGAAGCACAGCAGAACGACACACTCTGGGGCTCGGGCACTTTGGAGCACAGCAGAACGACACACTCTGGTGCTCGGGCACTTTGGAGCACAGCAGAACGACACACTCTGGTGCTCGGGCACTTTGGATCACAACAGAACGACACACTCTGGTGCTCGGGCACTTTGGAGCACAGCAGAACGACACACTCTGGGGCTCGGGCACTTTGAAGCACAGCAGAACGACACACTCTGGGGCTCGGGCACTTTGGACCACAGCAGAACGACACACTCTGGTGCTCAGGCACTTTGAAGCACAGCAGAACGACACACTCTGGTGCTCGGGCACTTGGAAGCACAGCAGAACGACACACTCTGGGGCTCGGGCACTTTGGAGCACAGCAGAACGACACACTCTGGTGCTCGGGCACTTTGGAGCACAGCAGAACGACACACTCTGGTGCTCGGGCACTTTGGATCACAGCAGAACGACACACTCTGGTGCTCGGGCACTTTGGAGCACAGCAGAACGACACACTCTGGTGCTCGGGCACTTTGGAGCACAGCAGAACGACACACTCTGGGGCTCGGGCACTTTGGAGCACAGCAGAACGACAGTGCTCGGGCACTTTGGAGCACAGCAGAACAACACAGTCTGGGGCTCGGGCACTTTGGACGACAGCAGAACGACACACTCTGGTGCTCGGGCACTTTGGACCACAGCAGAACAACACACTCTGGGGCTCGGGCACTTTGGAGCACAGCAGAACGACAGTGCTCAGGCACTTTGGACCACAGCAGAACAACACACTCTGGTGCTCGGGCACTTTGGACCACAGCAGAACAACACACTCTGGGGCTCGAGCACTTTGGAGCACAGCAGAACGACACACTCTGGGGCTCGGGCACTTTGGACCACAGCAGAACGACACACACTGGTAGTCGGGCACTTTGGAGCACAGCACAACGACATACTCTGGTGCTCGGCACTTTGGACCACAGCAGAACGACACACTCTGGTGCTCGGGCACTTTGGATCACAACAGAACGACACACTCTGGTGCTCGGGCACTTTGGAGCACAGCAGAACGACACACTCTGGTGCTCGGGCACTTTGGAGCACAGCAGAACGACACACTCTGGTGCTCGGGCACTTTGGATCACAACAGAACGACACACTCTGGTGCTCGGGCACTTTGGAGCACAGCAGAACGACACACTCTGGGGCTCGGGCACTTTGAAGCACAGCAGAACGACACACTCTGGGGCTCGGGCACTTTGGACCACAGCAGAACGACACACTCTGGTGCTCAGGCACTTTGAAGCACAGCAGAACGACACACTCTGGTGCTCGGGCACTTGGAAGCACAGCAGAACGACACACTCTGGGGCTCGGGCACTTTGGAGCACAGCAGAACGACACACTCTGGTGCTCGGGCACTTTGGAGCACAGCAGAACGACACACTCTGGTGCTCGGGCACTTTGGATCACAGCAGAACGACACACTCTGGTGCTCGGGCACTTTGGAGCACAGCAGAACGACACACTCTGGTGCTCGGGCACTTTGGAGCACAGCAGAACGACACACTCTGGGGCTCGGGCACTTTGGAGCACAGCAGAACGACAGTGCTCGGGCACTTTGGAGCACAGCAGAACAACACAGTCTGGGGCTCGGGCACTTTGGACGACAGCAGAACGACACACTCTGGTGCTCGGGCACTTTGGACCACAGCAGAACAACACACTCTGGGGCTCGGGCACTTTGGAGCACAGCAGAACGACAGTGCTCAGGCACTTTGGACCACAGCAGAACAACACACTCTGGTGCTCGGGCACTTTGGACCACAGCAGAACAACACACTCTGGGGCTCGAGCACTTTGGAGCACAGCAGAACGACACACTCTGGGGCTCGGGCACTTTGGACCACAGCAGAACGACACACACTGGTAGTCGGGCACTTTGGAGCACAGCACAACGACATACTCTGGTGCTCGGGCACTTTGGACCACAGCAGAACGACACACTCTGGTGCTCGGGCACTTTGGAGCACAGCAGAACGACACACTCTGGGGCTCGGGCACTTTGGACCACAGCAGAACGACACACTCTGGGGCTCGGGCACTTTGGACCACAGCAGAACGACACATTCTGGTGCTCGGGCACTTTGGAGCACAGCAGAACAACACACTCTGGGGCTCGAGCACTTTGGAGCACAGCAGAACGACACACTCTGGGGCTCGGGCACTTTGGACCACAGCAGAACGACACACTCTGGTGCTCGGGCACTTTGGACCACAGCAGAACAACACACTCTGGTGCTCGGGCACTTTGGACCACAGCAGAACGACACACTCTGGTGCTCGGGCACTTTGGAGCACAGCAGAACGACACACTCTGGTGCTCGGGCACTTTGGAGCACAGCAGAACGACACACTCTGGTGCTCGGGCACTTTGGATCACAACAGAACGACACACTCAGGTGCTCGGGCACTTTGGAGCACAGCAGAACGACACACTCTGGTGCTCAGGCACTTTGAAGCACAGCAGAACGACACACTCTGGTGCTCGGGCACTTTGAAGCACAGCAGAACGACACACTCTGGTGCTCGGGCACTTTGGAGCACAGCAGAACGACACACTCTGGTGCTCGGGCACTTTGGATCACAACATAACGACACACTCTGGTGCTCGGGCACTTTGGAGCACAGCAGAACGACACACTCTGGTGCTCAGGCACTTTGAAGCACAGCAGAACGACACACTCTGGTGCTCGGGCACTTTGAAGCACAGCAGAACGACACACTCTGGGGCTCGGGCACTTTGGAGCACAGCAGAACGACACACTCTGGTGCTCAGGCACTTTGAAGCACAGCAGAACGACACATTCTGGTGCTCGGGCACTTTGGACCACAGCAGAACAACACACTCTGGTGCTCGGGCACTTTGGAGCACAGCAGAACGACACACTCTGGGGCTCGGGCACTTTGGACCACAGGAGAACGACACACTCTGGGGCTCGGGCACTTTGGACCACAGCAGAACGACACATTCTGGTGCTCGGGCACTTTGGAGCACAGCAGAACAACACACTCTGGGGCTCGAGCACTTTGGAGCACAGCAGAACGACACACTCTGGGGCTCGGGCACTTTGGACCACAGCAGAACGACACACTCTGGTGCTCGGGCACTTTGGACCACAGCAGAACAACACACTCTGGTGCTCGGGCACTTTGGACCACAGCAGAACGACACACTCTGGTGCTCGGGCACTTTGGACCACAGCAGAACAACACACTCTGGTGCTCGGGCACTTTGGACCACAGCAGAACGACACACTCTGGTGCTCGGGCACTTTGGACCACAGCAGAACAACACACTCTGGTGCTCGGGCACTTTGGACCACAGCAGAACGACACACTCTGGTGCTCGGGCACTTTGGAGCACAGCAGAACGACACACTCTGGTGCTCGGGCACTTTGGAGCACAGCAGAACGACACACTCTGGTGCTCGGGCACTTTGGATCACAACAGAACGACACACTCTGGTGCTCGGGCACTTTGGAGCACAGCAGAACGACACACTCTGGTGCTCAGGCACTTTGAAGCACAGCAGAACGACACACTCTGGTGCTCGGGCACTTTGAAGCACAGCAGAACGACACACACTCTGGGGCTCGTGCACTTTGGAGCACAGCAGAACGACACACTCTGGTGCTCGGGCACTTTGGAGCACAGCAGAACGACACACTCTGGTGCTCGGGCACTTTGGAGCACAGCAGAACGACACACTCTGGTGCTCGGGCACTTTGGATCACAACATAACGACACACTCTGGTGCTCGGGCACTTTGGATCACAACATAACGACACACTCTGGTGCTCGGGCACTTTGGAGCACAGCAGAACGACACACTCTGGTGCTCAGGCACTTTGAAGCACAGCAGAACGACACACTCTGGTGCTCGGGCACTTTGAAGCACAGCAGAACGACACACTCTGGGGCTCGGGCACTTTGGAGCACAGCAGAACGACACACTCTGGTGCTCGGGCACTTTGGACCACAGCAGAACAACACACTCTGGTGCTCGGGCACTTTGGACCACAGCAGAACGACACACTCTGGTGCTCGGGCACTTTGGACCACAGCAGAACAACACACTCCGGTGCTCGGGCACTTTGGAGCACAGCAGAACGACACACTCTGGTGCTCGGGCACTTTGGATCACAACAGAACGACACACTCTGGTGCTCGGGCACTTTGGAGCACAGCAGAACGACACACTCTGGTGCTCGGGCACTTTGGAGCACAGCAGAACGACACACTCTGGTGCTCGGGCACTTTGGATCACAACAGAACGACACACTCTGGTGCTCGGGCACTTTGGAGCACAGCAGAACGACACACTCTGGTGCTCAGGGACTTTGAAGCACAGCAGAACGACACACTCTGGAGCTCGGGCACTTTGGAGCACAGCAGAACGACACACTCTGGTGCTCGGGCACTTTGGATCACAACAGAACGACACACTCTGGTGCTCGGGCACTTTGAAGCACAGCAGAACGACACACTCTGGTGCTCGGGCACTTTGAAGCACAGCAGAACGACACACTCTGAGGCTCGGGCATTTGGAGCACAGCAGAACGACACACTCTGGAGCTCGGGTACTTTGGAGCACAGCAGAACGACACACTCTGGTGCTTGGGCACTTTGGAGCACAGCAGAACGACACACTCTGGTGCACAGACACTTTGGACCACAGCAGAACGACACACTCTGGTGCTCAGGCACTTTGAAGCACAGCAGAACGACACACTCTGGTGCTCGGGCACTTTGGACCACAGCAGAACGACACACTCTGGTGCTCGGGCACTTTGGAGCACAGCAGAACGACACACTCTGGTGCTCGAGCACTTTGGAGCACAGCAGAACGACACACTCTGGTGCTCGGGCACTTTGGATCACAACAGAACGACACACTCTGGTGCTCGGGCACTTTGGAGCACATCAGAACGACACAGTCTGGTGCTCAGGCACTTTGAAGCACAGCAGAACGACACACTCTGGTGCTCGGGCACTTTGGAGCACAGCAGAACGACACACTCTGGTGCTCGGGCACTTTGGATCACAACAGAACGACACACTCTGGTGCTCGGGCACTTTGAAGCACAGCATAACGACACACTCTGGGTGCTCGGGCACTTTGAAGCACAGCAGAACGACACACTCTGAGGCTCGGGCACTTTGGAGCACAGCAGAACGACACACTCTGGTGCTCGGGCACTTTGGAGCACAGCAGAACGACACACTCTGGGGCTCGGGCACTTTGGAGCACAGCAGAACGACACACTCTGGTGCTCAGACACTTTGAAGCACAGCAGAACGACACACTCTGGTGCTTGGGCACTTTGGACTACAGCAGAACGACACATTCTGGAGCTCAGGCACTTTGGACCACAGCAGAACGACACACTCTGGTGCTCGGGCACTTTGAAGCACAGCAGAACGACACACTCTGGGGCTCGGGCACTTTGGACCACAGCAGAACGACACACTCTGGTGCTCGGGCACTTTGGAGCACAGCAGAACGACACATTCTGGGGCTCGGGCACTTTGGAGCACAGCAGAACGACACACTCTGGAGCTCGGGTACTTTGGACTACAGCAGAACGACACACTCTGGTGCTCGGGCACTTCGGAGCACAGCAGAACGACACACTCTGGTGCTCGGGCACTTTGGAGCACAGCAGAACGACACACTCTGGTGCTCGGACACTTTGGACCACAGCAGAACGACACACTCTGGTGCTCGGGCACTTTGGAGCACAACAGAACAACACACTCTGGTGCTCGGGCACTTTGGAGCACAACAGAACGACACACTCTGGTGCTCGGACACTTTGGACCACAGCAGAACGACACACTCTGGTGCTTGGGCACTTTGGATCACAACAGAACGACACACTCTGGTGCTCGGGCACTTTGAAGCACAGCAGAACGACACACTCTGGTGCTCGGGCACTTTGGAGCACAGCAGAACGACAGTGCTCGGGCACTTTGGAGCACAGCAGAACGACACACTCTGGTGCTCGGGCACTTTGGAGCACAGCAGAACGACACACTCTGGAGCTCGGGTACTTTGGACTACAGCAGAACGACACACTCTGGTGCTCGGGCACTTTGGAGCACAGCAGAACGACACACTCTGGTGCTCGGACACTTTGGACCACAGCAGAACGACACACTCTGGTGCTCGGACACTTTGGACCACAGCAGAACGACACACTCTGGTGCTCAGGCACTTTGAATCACAGCAGAACGACACACTCTGGTGCTCGGGCACTTTGGACCACAGCAGAACGACACACTCTGGTGCTCGGGCACTTTGGAGCACAGCAGAACGACACACTCTGGTGCTCGGGCACTTTGGAGCACAGCAGAACGACACACTCTGAGGCTCGGGCACTTTGGAGCACAGCAGAACGACACATTCTGGTGCTCGGGCACTTTGGAGCACAGCAGAACGACACACTCTGGGGCTCGGGCACTTTGGAGCACAGCAGAACGACACACTCTGGTGCTCGGGCACTTTGGACTACAGCAGAACGACACATTCTGGTGCTCAGGCACTTTGGACCACAGCAGAACGACACACTCAGGTGCTCGGGCACTTTGAAGCACAGCAGAACGACACACTCTGGGGCTCGGGCACTTTGGACCACAGCAGAACGACACACTCTGGTGCTCGGGCACTTTGGAGCACAGCAGAACGACAGTGCTAGGGCAGTTTGGAGCACAGCAGAACGACACACTCTGGTGCTCGGGCACTTTGGAGCACAGCAGAACGACACACTCTGGTGCTCGGGCACTTTGGAGCACAGCAGAACGACACACTCTGGTGCTCGGACACTTTGGACCACAGCAGAACGACACACTCTGGTGCTCGGGCACTTTGGAGCACAGCAGAACGACACACTCTGGTGCTCGGGCACTGTGGAGCACAGCATAACGACACACTCTGGTGCTCGGGCACTTTGGACCACAGTAGAACGACACACTCTGGTGCTCGGGCACTTTGGAGCACAGCAGAACGACACACTCTGGAGCTCGGGCACTTTGGACCACAGCAGAACGACACACTCTGGTGCTCGGGCACTTTGGAGCACAGCAGAACGACACACTCTGGGGCTCGGGCACTTTGGAGCACAGCAGAACGACACACTCTGGGGCTCGGGCAATTTGGACCACAGCAGAACGACACACTCTGGAGCTCGGGCACTTTGGACCACAGCAGAACGACACACTCTGGTGCTCGGGCACTTTGGAGCACAGCAGAACGACACACTCTGGGGCTCGGGCACTTTGGAGCACAGCAGAACGACACACTCTGGTGCTCGGGCACTTTGGAGCACAGCAGAACGACACACTCTGGGGCTCGGGCACTTTGGAGCACAGCAGAACGACACACTCTGGTGCTCGGGCACTTTGGAGCACAGCAGAACGACACACTCTGGAGCTCGGGCACTTTGGACCACAGCAGAACGACATACTCTGGTGCTCGGGCACTTTGGAGCACAGCAGAACGACACACTCTGGTGCTCGGGCACTTTGGAGCACAGCAGAACGACACACTCTGGAGCTCGGGCACTTTGGACCACAGCAGAACGACACACTCTGGTGCTCGGGCACTTTGGAGCACAGCAGAACGACACACTCTGGTGCTCGGGCACTTTGGAGCACAGCAGAACGACACACTCTGGTGCTCGGGCACTTTGGAGCACAGCAGAACGACACACTCTGGTGCTCGGGCACTTTGGAGCACAGCAGAACGACACACTCTGGAGCTCGGGCACTTTGGACCACAGCAGAACGACACACTCTGGTGCTCGGGCACTTTGGAGCACAGCAGAACGACACACTCTGGTGCTCGGGCACTTTGGAGCACAGCAGAACGACACACTCTGGTGCTCGGGCACTTTGGAGCACAGCAGAACGACACACTCTGGTGCTCGGGCACTTTGGAGCACAGCAGAACGACACACTCTGGTGCTCGGGCACTTTGAAGCACAGCAGGCCTCACACACAAACTCCCACTAATAGTTCTGTCAAATGATGCATGAACTGTCCTCTGTGGAAGTGGGAACAGAAACATGGACATTCTGGAGACTACGAGCCTTTCTCACGATCATTGTTTGGTTTGGTTGGTATGTTTTGGTTTGGTTGATATTGTTTGGTAAAGATTATTATATTTTTAACACGTAGCTTGTTTGATTTCCTCAGTTAGACCCTAAGACCGTTCTTTTTACTACATCACTGTCACTTTAACTGCATTTAACTGCTAAGTGTCTATTGTGTGTAGTCTGTGCACCTGTAGTTAATTTATGAAGATTGAAATTTTGTATTTTGTATATATATTTTTTTACTATTTATTTTCCCACATTTTCACTGAAAGGGGGGAAAAAACAAAAATTAAAAAATATAAAGCACAAGGGGAAAAAAGGAATAAAGATAATTGTAAACTGCTTTGTGATTCTGGTCTGAAAAGGCGCTATATACATACAGATTACTAAGATTAAAATAAAAGTAATACAAATTGATCGTTCTCACGTCTCATTTCATTACAGAACTAGGTAAGTTTTCAGCTTTCATTTTGGAATTTCTTTCTGTGTATTTCTATGCAACTCATTTGCATTCTTTTTTCTATTTCTAGTTTGTGACTTCCTGTTACTTAAAATGGCAATAAAAATAATTCTGATTCTGAGAAGGGACAAAGGGTAATTCTGTACAACTCAGCGGCCACTGGTCCACGTTCTGTAGCTAGCTTAGGTCCTAGATCATTAGCCTGTCCGTCCGGAGGAGCGGATCCCTTTCTCATATGGGTCTCCCTCCCTGTGGGTTTCCCTAGTTCTCCCCAAGGTTTCTCACTTTTTCCCACTGGGTTTTTTAAGATTTTTCCCTTGTCGATGCAGGAGGGTCTTGTTGGACAGTTAGTGTCCAACAGAAAGGATTGGTGATGATCAGGACACTTTAGCATTCTACAACATGTATGGACATGTTCTTCTGTGTGTGCTTTATATTCTTCACGGTGGCACGGTGGCTGAGTGGATAGCACTCTCGCCTCTCAGCAAGATGGTCCTGGGTTCGAATCCCGGTCGGACCAGGGCCTTTCTGAGTGGACTTTGCATGTTCTCCCCGTGTCTGCGTAGGTTTCCTCCGGGTACTCCGGTTTCCCCTACCACTAAAAATATGTACAATAGTTCTGGCATGCGCCTCCTGTACTGGCCCCGCTCCCATCTCTGTGTGGAGTGAGAGGGCAAGTGCCCAAAAAATAATAATAACAATTGTAAACCGCTTTGTGACCCTTGTCTGTGAAAGGCGGTATATAAATAAACATGACTTACTTCATGTGTTTTAACTGTTGATTCTCTGACCTGTGTTGGTGATTTCAATGGTTTTGTTAAGTCCTCTGAGATGACTTCTGTTGTGACCTAGGGATATTTATCTGTAAAATATACATCCATTCTGTAAGTATCAGAAGATGCTGCATATTTTACACTGATGTTCGAGCCGTGGGAGGGAGAGAAGTTCAGAGGACCCAACATGGAGCCCTGGGGCACCCCTGGTCAAGGCTTTTTACATAACTCAGAATAGTAACACAGCTCTTTCTGTCCACTCTGTGAGCTCCCACCTACGAGCTGCATTAGTCAGTCAAGGTCAGACTCTTCTTTTTTGTAACAATTTGAATTGCAGCGTTTAACACCAACAAACTGAAATGTTTATACTAAAATCACCGTTAGACCTGCACATTCTTCTGATTTTTGAACGACGGACTCAGGAACTCTGTCTTTTCGTGCTGTTTTTGTCCTTCCTGAAACTATGAGAGCATTTTCTGTGGCAAATCAGTGACATAAGCTGCTTTTTACAGAATAAAAACACTGCCAGGACTAAAAACATAGTGTCTAAAACAGACTTTGAGATTCATATCCGTGCATTTGTCTCCAGTAGGTTAGACTACTGTGATAGGTGCTCACAGGTCTCTCCACTGCAGCTCGAGTCTTGACTAGAACCAGGAAGTACCAAAACATTAGTCCTGGTCTCAGGTCTCTGCTTCCTGCGGCTCAGAGAATAGACTTTAAAACAGCTCTGGTTGTGTACAAGTCTCTCCAGGGCCTCGAACCAAAATACATCTGTGACATGTTAGTGCCATATGAACCAACTGGGACTCGGAGGAGCACAGGGACTGGCCTCCTGCTGGGACTCTGAGGAGCACAGGGACTAGCCTCCTGCTTTATGCCGCTAAAATCTGGAACAGACTTTCCTAAAATGTGAGACAGGCTTCTTCTTCTCTGACAATGTTCAAATCCAGGTTAAAACAGTTATATTTAGCTGCAGACAACTGAAGGATTTTATCAAAACTCTTTTTAACACACTGTGATTATTCATGATTTTAATGCCTTGTGTTCTTCTCTCTATCTCTTTTGTTCTGCACTTTGAGTTGCCTTGTGTGTGAACTGTGCCAGACAAATAAACTTGCCTCGCCTTGTTGCACACAGCAGGTCAAACATAAGTCAATGTGAGTCCTGTGTCATCAAGTGCAGCTATAACAGCAGTGTCAGAGAAATAACCAGAAGCCTGAACAAACAACGGCGTTAGAGAAATGGATCGACAATAATGTAATGTTCTGGTGCAGGATCTTGGGGGAAATGAACAAAACCAACACAGCTCTGCAGGAAGCTCCCCGGACGCTCCCCGGACGCTCCCAGGACGCAGTTCCAGACGTTGACGTATGATTTACACGGAGAGGAAAGCCTGGTGTCTTCATGGTCTTGTCAAGATGAGCAGCGAATTAATGAGGCGGACGAGGACAGTCTATTTGTTCAGCATGGTCCACACACAGGGAAAGTGCTTCACAAAACAAGAGAGAAAGCAGCAAAGTACTAAATGATCACACAACATTCATATATTTATACAGAACATAAATCTCATTGGGTTGGAAATGGATTGGCCTTAAACTTTGAAATAGACAAAGAGATTAAGAGATCCTTTTTTCAATTCAATTCAATGTTTTCTTGTACAACCCTAAATCACAACAGCAGTTTTCTCGGGGGACTTTAAAAAAACGTAGAATTCGCCAACACAGATCAGAGAATCAAACAGTTCAAACACACGAAATGCAACGGTAAAATGGTAAAATGTATTAGTCCATAAGAGGCGGAGACCAATGTCATACATGCTGTAGAATGTTAAAGTGTCCTTCTTGTCAGACATTAACTGTCCAACAGACTCCTGCATCAGAGGAAAAACTCTAAAACCCAGTGGGAGAAAAGTGAGAAACCTCTGGGAGATCCACATTGAGTGAGGGATCCGTTCCGTTGAGCAATACCAGGACCAAACCAGGACTAAACCAGGACTTAACTTGGACTTAAGCTACAGAACAAGAACCAAGACCACGCAGTGCAGGACTCAGATTGTAGAAGGAGGACAGGTACGGGACAGGACTGAAGCAGCTCCAGGCGAGGAGGAGGTGCAGCCCAAGAGTCGGGCCAAACAGGACAGTTCCATCGTTACGCCATGAAGCAGACAATGGGACAGCGGGTGAATAGCAATGAACAGACTACAGCTGAAGTCATGATGCAGAAAGATTAAGGAGGAAGGAGAGAATAGTGCTCAAGACACCGGACTTCTGCAGCAAACCGACTCCATACGCAGCTCGACTGACAATCTATGGTATCTACATTTTAGTAGAGAACCGCCCTCTCCACCTTTTGAACTAAACTCTCTGGTCTTATTGGACGAACACGTATCGCCAGAATGATTGACAGTTGAGACGAGCAATAGCCTTGATGAAGTAGAAAATCCTCCTGTATACCTTTAAGGAAGTATTTTTTAAGTCCTCCCCGAGTCTCCCCTTCCTAACCATGTGCGGCCTTGAGTGTAGAGACTGTTTCTGTTTCCTTGAGTTTCCTTCGAGCAGAAACTTCCTCCACATAAAAGTGAGGACATTCTTCACTGTCCTCTCCTCATTTCTCACTCTGGTTTCTCTCGACTCTCGCTGTCAGAGCAGCACAGAGAGATGATGTTTGCAGCTGAATTACTCTAAATGTTGACAAATACAAAGTGTTTCAAACTAAGCGTCCAACTTGTTCTTGTCTCTCACAAACCTTTGCCTCATCACATAAACATGATCTATTCAAAAACGGCAAAACAAAACCAGCAAAATGAACGAGACAAGGTTTATTTTAAGCAACTCACAGCGTTAACAAAGCAAGAAGAAAACTCAGATAAGGCATTAACAAAAGTAAAGATAAAATTGCACAGATAAACTGTTCTCAACCTGGATTTGAACATTTGTCAGAGGAGAAGCCTGTCTCACATTTTCAGGAAGACTGAAGTGGTCCACATGTTTAGTCCTGACTCTGGGACCAGCAGGAGGCCAGTGACCGCAGCCCTTTGGCAACGCACTCGGTGCTTGTAATTTAGGTGTGTAAAATACTAGGATTACTCTGCAAGTAGTTCCGGCCACTTCGCCAACAAGTATTTTCATGCTAGAGTTATCTACTTCTCTCTGAGAGAAGATCCGCTCAATAAACACAAATAAGAATCAATAGAACTCAACGTAAATTAAAACAACTCGACCTCTGCTGACGGAGAACCTGACAGAGAACCTACAGCTTTCATAAAGATCGGATTTTGTGGGGATTTTAGTGTCCCTTGTCATCCTGAACTTTTTTTCTTCTTAAATCCTTCGGTTTTCTTTAAATCCACACTTTACTGCCACAAACTCTGCTCCTTTCCTTCCCGCTCTGACTCCGCTCCAATCAGAGCTGCTCTGATCAGCAGCACGTTTGGCGCGACGCATCAGGGGAGATAATCCACTGCGCAGAACCGGGAGGACCAGACGATGCCCAAATATGGGCCAGTTCAGCTAATCTCCCGGTCTCCGTGAAGTCCCATGCGCTACTGAGCACAAGCCATTCATTTGAATAGGACGCCATCTTGGATCACCGGGGCTTGGGAAAACCCAGAAGTAACCAAAACATCCATCCATTTCTTCCTTTTTATCTTTTTTTGGGGTGGGGGGGGGGAGTCCACATGGCACCAGCCCCTGATCCTCCTGCAGGTGCTGAGTCCACAGGAGGATTCATAAAAGTGGACAGAAGTTTATTTTGTGTGTTCAGTTGGTTCAGAGTTGTTTAATAAGTGGGAAAATGTATCAGGAAGTAAATACCCTCAGGGCGTACGCAGTTCACTCTGAAGGTACTTATTTTCCGATAATGACCTGTGTTCTCTACATTATCCCACACGATGTACAAACTAGCATCACACAGCTTTTAACAATAACTGATACAAAAACAGCACAGATGTTGTTACTGTTTCCAGCTAAACCCCAGCAGGAGGATTGCATCAGTAATCATTGCTCAGAAGAAGACTAAAAGAGTTCATACCACATGTTTTCAGACTCTTTTCAATGCTGGCTTTTCTTTTTAAATCATTTTGAACTTAAAGCTGCGATTACTCCCGATACATTTCTGTCGTTTTCTTGTTATTAATATCCATTTTTCGCTCATGGGTCTCAGGTGGCTCCCCGTTTTCATATAAAGACCTCGGCGCGTAATAACGAGGCATCGGTTTTTCCTCCAAACAATAAATCTCCAGAATCTAATCACATCTTCTTCTTCTTCTTCTTCTTCTTCTTCTTCTTCTTCTTCTTCTTCCGAATCTACAGAAGTCTCAGATTCCACAGACACCGACACCTTCATATTTCACTGAGATTATACAGATATTAATGAATGGTGGTGGGTCATTATGAACCAGGACTAAACCAGGACTAAACAAGGACTAAACCAGGAAGAAACCAGAGGAATACAGCAGGACTAAACCAGGGCTAGGTGCAGGACTAAACAAGGACTAAACAGTGAATTAACCAGGACTAAACCATGACTTAACCAGAAGAATAAAGTAGGACTAAACTAGGACTAAACCAGAACAAACCCAGGACGAAAGTGGAAGTAAACTAGGACTAAACAAGGACTAAACCAGGAAGAAACCAGAGGAATACAGCAGGACTAAACCAGGACTAAACAGTGAATTAACCAGGACTAAACCATGACTTAACCAGAAGAATAAACTAGGACTAAACTAGGACTAAACCAGGACCAAATCAGGACAAAAGCAGGACTAAATCAGGACTGAACTAGGACTTAACCAGGGCTTGGCCAAAACTAAACCAGGACTAAACTAGGACTTAACCAGGGCTTGGCCAAAACTAAACCAGGACTAAACTAGGACTTAACCAGGGATTAACTATGGTTAAACCAGAGAACTAAACCAGAGAACTAAACCAGGACTAAACCGAGAGTCCGAGGTAATGCAGTGAGATGGCTGCCTGGCGTGGGTGGGCAGCCAGGGGGCGCTGTGCAGAAAGTCCCAGTCTTCAGTGTCTCTGTGAACGCTCTGAGGATTTGAGGAGGTTTGTTTTCACATTTGTGTTTTTCGCTTCACGGACTTGTTGCCTTCGATGTGAGTCTTGACTAAATATTGTTTGGTAAAAAAATCTCTGGTTGTTGCTGCTTTGAACGAGGCTTGTCAATTATTTTTCAAGCGCTTTTAAACAAAGTGGAAGCAGAGACAGTAGAAAGAAATGAATTCGGTCTTGGCCCTGTCTGTTTTATATGTTCTGTAAATATCAAGTAATTCACAA